GGGGGGGGGGGGGAATCAAGAGGGGGGTAGTTCTGGGGTTATACTTAGTAATTACTGAATACAAATAGCAAGTCACCAGAAGCTTCCTTATTCTCCACCTAGCAAGATAGTGTTGTTTATTTTTCTCTGATCACGAATTAATGTACCAGTCCCTTCTGGACTGGACCTTTGAAACGCAGATTTAAAAAGAAGCTCATGAGATACTTCAGCTGTTGTCCCTCTTCTAAAAGAGACCAGCAGAAAAAAATATTGAACTAAAGCCTGCAATTTAACAATGTAAGTAGACACCCACTCCAAACCCCATTTGCTTCATTTAAAACCTCTGCACTAAACTACAAAGCCATTAGAAGAATGAGATATTGTAGTCTTATGGACTACTAAACTGTAGCTGCAGAGCTCAGATATATATCTAATTGCTGTGACCGAGTCGAGGTACAGCCTCAAGGGATTTACAGGTGAGTCTTTCTAAAATCAAGTTCAAGACTCTAGGAAACCAACTCAAAGAACATCAGGAAGAGCGTAAATTACACCAGGAGTGCCCAACCTTCAGTCTGTAGGCCAAATCTGGCCTGTGGAGCCAAGGCATATGGCTTGTGGGGCTCCCCATGGGTCAGAAAATTTGGTAGTGGAGTACCAGCAACAATTAATACTACTACTACTCTCCTCCCCACCCCATGTAGCTAGACTGGGACCAGGCCACACCTCCTTCCCTCTCTGTAGCTGGGTTGGGGCTGGGCCAAGTCCCCTGCGTCCCACATGGCTTGATCTGGGTTGGGTCATGCCCCCTTCACTCCCGTCGGACTGGGTCAGGACCACCGGCCAGATCCAACCCATGGATAAACTGGACACTGCCCATCCAGCCCACTGGCAAAAAGGTTGAGCACAACTGAATTATGCCATCTTAAGGACACAATGTAAGATACCACTGGGCATGCCTACATGTGTATTTACATGCACCTAAACTTAATGCGCCTTTGCTTCAGGCGCATTAAGGCAATTTAGGCGCGTATACACATGTAGATGTGCTAATGTGAGTTAAGGTGTATTAAATGTAGGTGCGAATAGCTAAATTGCATTAGCACACATGCAGATGCACTAATATGCATTAACATGGTGTCTATCCATTATCAAACACCGTGTTGATATACATTAGCACATCTACACGTGTGCTAATGTGACTTAGCTATTCTGGTAGTGGATTTGGTCGGGCTTCTGGCCTGCCTGACTAGGAAAACAGACAGAGACCA